CGGGGCAACCCGCAGCTGTGCTCGTTATGTCCTGCCAGGGCCCTTTCCCTGGCAGTTTCCCCTCTCTAGGAGCAGGGCACCAAGGTGCCCTGCGACAATTTTGAATGTACCAGTAACATTGTGTTAATTAGCACAATTTGGTGAATTGCTGCAGTTAATGGATGGAGTTACTAGGTAAAAAAGATTGTATGAGTGTAAGTTATCAAGCTAGACCAAGCTATCTGTAGCCATTAAGCAGCTTTCAACACTTGATCACAGTCCACTCAGCAGTAATCTGTCTAAATGAAATATTGAACACATGGACATGGATGGGGAAGCATCATAAAGCTGGAAGATGCTCAGAAAGCTTGGATGCTTGTATAGGAGTAGTTGCCACTAAGTTTTGTGTGCTTTGGTTGCCTCTGACATTGAGCTTTATATGAAGCTGGGGGTCTGTAAACCACATTTATGTGAACTTTATTTCCCAGCAATGAAAGTGGTCATGCTGAAAAGCCAAAGAGCAATGGATTGATGTTTTCTGTTTCTTCTTTGTCAGCTTCTCTTCTATTAAAGTGCAGGATACAATTAAGATGTTCAACCTAGCACCCAGATCCATAAGCACTGTTTCAGTTTTGTTAGTTTTCTTGGTATAGATATACTTAAATGGCATACTACCACCACAACTTTGCTGGCACAAGATCATCAACAATGGATGTAAATTGGCCAACTAGACAGTTTTTAAGGACCTAGGTAGAGATGAGGCTGGATCGAATTCTGTCTCCATGTGGCCCATGAGAGGTTAATGTGGGATTCCCACCTAGCTACCACTCCTCACATTGTTTCTGCTGCTACAACAGCTGGGGTCTCCAGACTTTCTCTTTTTCTCCTTCAGCTTCTTCCTCCCCCCCATTCCCAGGGGTGGAGGTGCAGTGGAAAGACACCCAAAGAGGCGTCTGTGCTGCTTGCATGCTTCACACAGCTGGGGAAGGAGGGGTCAGACAGTGAGCATGACCAGGAAAAGTGAATGTGTGCACATCCAGAAGAGGAGCTCGGCTGCCCATGTTTGAGCACAAAGCAAGAGTGAGGCTAGTTTGTCTGTCTAATGGGGAGGATGCCAGGAGGGCATGCAACCCAAGGGCCTGTAGACCACAGGGCATGTGGCCCCCTCACTGCTCAGAAGTTGGACAGCCCTGGTTTGGGTTCAGAGTGCTGAACTTTTTCCAGGATGGACCTAAGCTGTAATCAAGTACAGGCTTTCATCAAGTTACTTCTGGATTACTGTGACCATTTTTTGGTCTGGCAATTGCAGTTGGTTCATTCTGCTAGGCTCCATTGTTTACTTGCTAAGTTTTCAAGGAAGCAAATTTGTGCTTTCTCTTATGCTACATTTCATGCTTAGGGAGGAACCCCTGCCCTATAAAGATTCAAAGAGTTCTTTCCCAACAATACTTGGACTGCAGTTCCTGCACCACAAATGGCTCGTCAGCTGAACAGTGCTATCATTTTTTTTTTAAACTGCATGTATTGGGGTATGTCTTTTCTGCAATTATAAATAATGCAACACTTACACAGGTTTTTTTCAGGAGCATTGTTTTGGGTTTTGTTGTGGGTTTTTTTTGTTTTTGAAAGGCAGTGTGTTTGCCACAATTCCTCTTGGGATGTGTATTGTTGTGGTTCTCTTGTTAATGCTGACAGCTCATGATGTGGCTCCTGAACCAGTGATGGCTGAGTGTCACTGGTCTGTATCCATTTCTTGTGCCTTTTGCCTAACTCTTAGGTTGAAAGTTCTTTGGACAGGGGCTGTTCTGTGTTTGTATGGGGGACTAGCCCATTGGGGTCTTGATCTGTGCCTAAGGTACTGATGTACTATGGAGCCTGTAATATAGGAGGTTTTGAGACTGCAGGGCTAGGTCCCTTTAAAGCTAGGACCTTCCTAGCCAGAAGGGATGAAGAGACACCGCTGCAGTCAAGATGCAGTCAGCCCACCTAAAGACTACAAGGAGGCATGATAGGAACCCAAGAATTGCCACTTACTGGGTCAGATCATAGGTCCCTCTTGTCTGTGGCCACCGGGGGAGGGGAGTGGGGGGCATTACCACTTCCTCTGGCTGCTGCTGGAGCTGGGCCAGGGAGCCAAGCTGAGCTCTCTTTCCTGTAGAGCTGCTACTCTACTTTGTTCCCCTGAGAGCAGGGCCATATTAACCCTTGAGTAGGCCCTAGGTCAACAGATGTCCTCTTTCTCAAGCCAGTAACATCAGTCTGTGTTTTCCTTTTATACAACTCGCCTGCCATGCCTTGATGAGAGAATATGAAAAGAAGCAAACAAAAAGAAGAATACGGACAAATTACCAAACTTGTATTTCTCCCCAATACTTCTTAGGGATATACCTGGAGTGGTCACTGTTGCCCCTAGGATTCTTTTTTGCCAGAGACCCCCAAGGATTGACATGGCCACTCATCCAATTTGATATCAAGTGAACTTTATTAGTAATCCCTAAGCTTATTACAAGTATTCTTCCTTGCAATACAACTTAGCAAGCAGCTTCTTAGATATTACAGCAGCAACTTTCAGTGGTACCGGCCTCAAATCCTCTGCTGGGTGTGTGGGGTGTTAGTTTCTGGATTCCTCATTGTTCGGACAAGAAGTCCAAAGTTGCTCTCATCTCCCCAGGGTGGCAACACAGAACACAGTGTTCCTTTGTTTGTCTATCACTCTTTTAAATTTTTTCTCATCCCAAATTGTCCAATCCCCTGGCTCTGTGCCAAGCATTCTTTATATGGTGCACCAATCCCCCGGCACTGTGCCAGCCACATTCCTTATAGGGAACCTGTTGTCCCTTGCTTGCCTAGTGCCCAGTCGCAGCACTCGCATCTCCCGGTGCCACAGAAGGCAGTCTGTTTAATTTTGTTGCTTAGTTCTAGGAAGGCCTGGACTATGGCTAAAAGCCTTAGCATAACTCACTTTCCCCACTAAAGTCACATTCACAGTATGTGAATGTAGACTCACAGTCATTTAGAGTCTACACACACGTTACATAAAGTCTTTGTAATCGGCAAACAAGCAGCAGCCTAGTTCAGGGGTTGTCAACCAAGGGTACGTGTACCGCTGGGGGTACTTGAGAAGGCCCCAGGGGGTATCTGTGGGCGGGTGGGGATGGAGCACTGCCCTGCACCATCCCATGCACGTGCTGCCCACCCGGCTGGATGTGGGGGGTGGCGAGGGAAGCTCGCACGCGGCAGCTGTGGCTACTCCGCCCAGCTCAATGCCACCCCCCCTCCCATCCCCCGCTTGAACTCTGGCTACATGCTACTCCCCCAGCCCCCCTTCCGGCTTGACGGCCAGGGGTATGCTGCCCTGCATCCAGCCACCAGGGGATACAGTGATCCAGAAAGTCTGAAAACCCCTGGCCCAGTTTATCTTAACAGTCTATTTTTCTTTTTATCTTAGTCTCTCATAGCTCCTGACTCAGTTTTCACGGTTCTCAATCTAACCAGCTCCCAGAAGAGGTCTCACTTTATCTCCGGCAGGTAAGTTACCTCTGCTTTCCTGAATAGTAGCTTTTCTCTCCCAAGCTGCTGTCGGTTAGGTCCTATGCCTCTGCACAGGTTTCCGCAACCTTCATCAGCTGCTCTCACTCATCTTCTGTTGCCTTCCAGGGGTTGAAGCTTACTGACAGCAATCTTTTTAACTGTTTCACGCTGTCTCAATTTCCAGTAATTTACTAAACTCTCTCCACAGGTGTGGGAAACTCCCAGCAGTGAGACGCTGTGTAATGATGTCATCACTCTAGCGTCTTGTGCCTCAGGATCCCAGTAAGTATTCACGGCACATCCATCGTAACAGGTCAGAAGTTCTCTTCCCTGTTACAGCCCCTACTTAATATATTTATATTACTTTTTCACTTAATAATTCTAATATGTAAAATAAACACAGTGGAGGGCCCCTTCTTCACTTGGGGCCCTAGGCATGTGCCTAACTTGCCTATGCAGTAATCCAGCCCTGCTGGAGAGGGCTCCTGCCAGCTCTGCACAGGTCCAGCCCCTACCTGCTCCCCCTGGGCTGGCCCCTGGACCACTACCACTGCGGCTGCCTCCCCCCGCCCTCCGCCACACATTGCGAGGTCGGGGTGGGAGGGAGACTGGAGGGCCTACCCCTCCACACACCTGTTTCCGATTTTTTAGCATCCATCCCAGTCCCTGCTGGCTGTCCTGCAGGTCAGAGAGCCCCTCAGTCCTAGAGGGGCCCCTCTAGTGCTATCACCAGTGGCAGCTGCCTAAGGGGACCCTACAGTGCCAGGAGGGCCCCTCCAATGCTCCAGCTGCCTTTGCAGCCACCACCCCCATCCTTCTCCCTTCTGTGGTGTGTTCTGTGCCCCACCCCACAGCAGTGTGCTTCCTCCTACCCTCCTGTGACTGTGTGTGTGTGCTCCCTGGCCCCAGCCTCCACTCCTCCACATACTGCCCCTCCCCCTACTCTCCTGCCTCTGCTGCCCCAGCACAAGCCAGCCCCCACCCCTACAGCACAACACACCCCACTCCACCCCATAATGCAGCTAGGAGGAGGCGCCTGCCCAATCCTTCCTGACCCTTTCAACCCCCCGGCCAATCAGTCATGACCCCCAAGTCTTTCTTGGACATAGTGCTAGCACCATGTCCGAGAAAGACTTGGGGGTCATAATTGACCACAAGATGAATATGAGCCACCAATACAATGCTGCAGCTGGCAAAGCAAATAAAACTCTGGCTTTCATCTACTGATACATCTCAACCAAGACCCAAGATGTCATTCTCCTGCTTTACTCAGCCTCGGTGAGGCCGCAGGTAGAGTAATGCATCCAGTTCTGGGTTCCACATTTTAAAAGCATGTGGAGAACTTGAGAGAGTCCAGAGAAGAGCCACATGTGTGTTCAGAGGTCAAGAGCGTAGACCTTATAAAGAGAGGCTGAGAGACCTGGGACTCTTCAGCTTGGAAAAGTGTAGGCTCAGAGGGGACTTGATGGCAGCCTAAAAGTACATCAGGGTGTATATCAGGACCTGGGAGAAGGTCTGTTCACCAGGGCTCCCCTAGGGAAGACTAGGTCCAATGGTCACAAACTGCTGGAAGACCGCTTTACACTGGACATAAGGAAAAACTTCTTTAATATCCGAGTCTCCGGCGTCTGAAACAGACTCTCCCCAGAAGTGGTGGAAGGACCTACTCTGAACATGTTCAAGTTGTATTTGGATGCTTATCTTACTGGGATCATCTGACCCCAGCTGACTTCCTGTCCCTTGGGCAGGAGGCTGGGCCTGATGATCTTGCGAGGTCCCTTCCAGTCCTAATGTCTATGAAATCTATGACATACTGGGGACCTCCTAGACTATGCCAAGCAGGGGTGGGCAAATCCTGCTGCACTGGCCCAGCACATGGAGCTGCCCACACTGCGTGCACTCTGGTGCGTACTCCAGGAGGTCAAGGCTCACCTACACTGACCAGGTCCTGCGCGAAGGTAGTCACCACCTCCCAATATCCCCCAACCCTCCGAAGCTTATCACTGGGCTCCTGCCTAGGCAGGCCCTACAACACTCCCTGACCCACCATCTTACAAGGCTGGAGGGTACCAAGCTGGTCTGCTTTTGAACTGCCCACCATCCCCAGTTCTACATGCTCATACTCTGCATTGTCTACTGTCTACCATCCTGTCCTCATATCCCACCCTGACAGCAAGTGGTGGGACACACTAGGTGAGGGCAGAGGTGAGTCCCTAGTGGACAAGTCTGTATTCCACATTGATCCCGCAAGCCACTGGGGACCTCAGCTGGCAGCTCCTGCATAGAGCCATCACCACAGGTGTGTATCTGGCGCAGTTCACAGACATCCCCTGACACCTGTCCCTTTTGTGAGCAGAGGGAGACCCTGGCGCACATGTACCTGGAGTGCGCCAGGCTGCAGCCCCTCTTCTGCCTCCTGGCTGTACTTCTCTCTGCACCTTTTCTATTATGCACTATCTGTCTGTAGCCCCACCAACCCCTGGGACCTGGTGGTCGACCTCCTCCTGACTCTGACCAAGCTGGCCATCTGTAAGACCGGGAAGGAGGCTCTGGCTGGGGGGAACCCAGGTGAGTGTAGAGCTGTCTTCCTGCCACTCCCTCGCTTGTGTCTCCAGGTGGAGTTTCACTGGTCTGGTCCATATTCACAGGCTCCCTCGGCTTGTTTGGGGGGCAGTGGGTGCTGGGCTGGCCTGTGTGCTCTGCTCAGTGTTCCCTTCCAAATCCCTTGTCATTAACCTGTGACCTCATTCCTGTTCCTGATTTCTTTTTTTTTTTTTTTTGTCTCAAGTACTCAGTTGGTGTGTCCTCAGTGGCCTCCCATCTTAAGGGAGCCTGATTGACCCTTGGCACATCAAATAGGCCTGTGACCACCAGAGGGCACTAGCATTTCTCCTTGGCTGCTGCTGGGCCAGGGAACAGTAGGAACCTGAGAGCTGCTGCAGGCTCCTGCTCTCCCCACCACCACCACCTCCTCATCCTCACCTGGACCTACAGCCTCCATCCTCTCTCAAGAAGAGCAGGCAGGGGGGTGTCCTCCCTCACCCAGCACCAGCCACCACCTGCTGCTGCATCTGCCTGCAGTGAGAGGATCTCATAGTGCCCCTGGGGCTCCTCCAACAGCAACACCATCAGCTGTCCTGCTAGCTGCTTCAGCAGCAACCCATGTGTCTGCACATAGTGAGTCTTGTGGTCCACTCCCCCTCTCCCTGTGTCTTGTGATTTGCTGCATAAGCCAGAGTGTGCTTCCCCCCCACCCCCATGTCCTTGTTTTTCTGTTTCCCCCCAGCCCCTCACATGCACACTACACTCACGCAGTCCCCCACCTACTGCAGCTAGAGCCCCCCACCCTCTACAACAAGCCACCTTTTCTTACAGGTTGAGGGGGAACTAACAGCTTCTCATCTTGCACCCCCCTGACCCCTTCCCAAATAGCTCATGGCAGAGCAAGGTCAAGGCCCCCCAACCCTCCCAGGGCTGCCACAGCAGTAGCCCTCAACCAGAGGGCTGCCAGTATGAGCCAGAGGAGGAGATCTTAGAAAGGGCCACAGCAAAAGCAGCCAGGGCAGGGGAAAAGGCAAGGGCTCCTTGACTTCTTGGATTTTTCTTCTGTTTAACCTTTCTCTGCTCTGTTACAGCTAATTGTTAAATAAGGGCCTTAAGTATTGATCTGAGTTTTAGCTACTTCTGCTAACTATCTAGGTTAGTTACTCTTAATTAAAGAATTTAACTTACCATAAAGAGCCCCATTCAAAGAGGGCAGAGGAGCAAACTGACTTGTGAGCTATCTTGCAAACTGTCCTGTTCTCCCCTGCTTGCTGGGAAGGGTTGTGGGGGGAGAGATCTCCTTTTGTGTTCCCCTGGGATTGGACTGGGTCTGCCCCCTTGTTAGGGCTTTTATCAGACACAGGCAGAAACCATTCAAATGCAGGTTTCCCTCACTTTATTCTGTACATGTGTTCCTGGAAAACCGTGCACAACTCAAATTCGCATAAAGGGAATCCACCTTACAATGTAACAAACAGGGATATGTTCAAAGACCTTGACTATGCTGACCCCCAGAGCCGTTTCTACCACTTTCACAAGACAATTTTGGTACTCGCCAACAGCAGACAGTACACGCAAGTACAGGGTGGGGGTGAATGTTTGGTTGGTGTGAAGAGAGGGCAGTGAAGGGTCTTCAGTGTCAGACCCTACATCACTGGTAGGACATACGGGCAGGGTAACAACCATAAGAGAGAAGTTAGCGGGATGCTTAGAAGCCATAATGGGGATGGCAACTACATGTTGCAGACAATGAGCAAGGAGCATAGATCCACAAAGGAGACTATATTTTGGTGCACATCACTCCCACAGTGCACCTCACAAAGCAGCTGACTGCAGGTTTCCACCACACCGATAGCATAAGAGTGAATTTACCTCGCATATAACGAATTTTTGGTATAAAAAGGATCATTGCATAAGAGCAAATTTGCACATACAGAACTTGCATAAAGCAAGGGAAACTTGTAGCAATATTCACTGGCTTCTCGGAGCACATGGCCTAAGTAAACACCCAAGCAAACTCTGCCTGTTCCCTCACTCCTATCATAGAGTGATAAGCTGGGATCCTGGTTTTCCCTGATACAAAAATCACAAATTCTCTGATAAAAATCCCAAAATCTATGATTAAAATGAAAGGCCCCCCACAGCCCTACTGATGCCTCTCACCTCCAACCCACATTGCCCCCATCTTTGCTGGTGCCCCTTGCCTCCCACCCACAGCCCCTGCTCCCCCAGCTGCCAGGGCTACGGGCCAGGGAACCCAGGTCCACAGCCCCCTGCTCCTGGCAGGAGGTGGCAGCTGCTGCAGCAGATCAAAACCCGGCTCTCGTCCTCCCTGCCCCGCCCCCGCAGGCTGGAGGGGTGGGCAGCTCCCAGCCACTACATGCACTCCTGGATCTTGGCACAAGGCAGGGGCGGGAGTGGACTGCCTACTGTGGGCTCGGACTCCGCGCTCTGCTGTCCTCCCCTGGGGCCTCCACAGCCTGGCGGGTGCGACTCAGTGCTGCAGGGCAGAGCAGGGCTGCACAGGGATCTCCTTGCCACTGCAAGCTCTGCGCTGCTGTGGTGAGGCATCCCCTGCATGCATAGCAGCAGCTGGGGTTCCAGCCTTGCTTTTCAGCCTGCCCCGTGCACAGATCTGGGGGACATGGGTCCCCCAGCCCCCAAGTGGTGTAGCAGCAGAGAGCCAGCCCCCCTCCCCGGACAAGCCACATGTGGCCCCATCCCACTCCCCACCAGGGCCCTGCAGCCATGCATTGTGGCCTCAGGCCCCAAGCTCCACGCACCACCTGGCTGGGCAGCAGCCCTGGTCCCACCCAACTCCCTCCCTATGGGGGCCACAATCCCCGCCACCACTTACCTGCAGCAGCTGCTCTGCAGGCTGCCCGGTGGCCATGTACATATACATGCACCTGGCACCCCCCTGCCTGACTGCCCTCCTCCCCCTCCCCTGGAACTCTGCCAGCCTGCAGACAGATCTTTGCAAAACTGCAAAATCTGTGGGTTTCTCCCCAAGAATGAGAAATCCACATTTTCCTGTGGTAAAGGGGGAAATCTGTGTTTTACTTCATTTTTCCATGAGAAGCAAAAAACCTGGATCTCTGGTGAATGGTCAGGTTCAACTTTATTAAAACTGGTGAGTATCACAGCTGGTCTTAATTCAGGAAAATGTGAGAAATGGTAAAGGGCCTCAGACCCCAAATCCAAGGCATGCAGGGGCCCACACATCATTTTGAACTTTCTGGCACAGGGCTTTTTTGGGTGTTTATTGTTGGGAGAGGTGTGAGAAGCATGCAAAAGAAACAGCAGAAAAACACAGAAATCCCAGTGTTTTAACCTAGAGAAAAAGATTGGATCAGTTTATTGCTGACATCTGTGCCCAATGAAACATTTTTCTGCTGCTTGATTCCTCGTGTGTACAGGGAAACAGAACTAAGTACAATTCCATTCCACAAGCCTGAAGTTGGTTCCTTACTCCCAGTTCCTTCTTCCTGGTTCCTTCTTCCTGGTTTCCAGTCTTTTTTTTTCAAAGCTAATCTATACCCAGTAAAAGCTTCTTATTAATGAATCACACTTTCTAAAGAGAGAATTTCATTAGCTATGCATATTTACTAACTCATATGTAAAATAATATCTTGCATCAAGTACCAAACCCTAATGAAGGTTCAGATTAGGATGGGATTATGGGGCAAAATACTTCTTGGGCCACCCCAGACTTCCAGTCAATGCCACCAAGGAACTATCCCAAAGAACCTGAGTGCAGTCCTGCCTGGCCCAAAGCTCAGTTTGGCCCTGCCAGGCTGCAAACTGATAGCCCCACCCCCATGCCCACTGTATTCATATAATGGATCAAATAAGGAATTGGCTTTTGGGCTGGGGTTATGTCTGGAAATCCATCTTGGGCCACCCTAACAACATGCCTCTGTACCACTGGGGTACTCTCCTGGATATCCCTGACCAGAGTCTAGTCCAACCCAAAGCAGTTTGCCTCTGCCGGGCTGACAGTCCCCCTCCCCTGTACTAAGTATAGGGACCCAAATAAGAAACTGGTTTTGGGGCTGATATTACAGCTGGAAAGCCTTTCTTTGGGTCACCCCACACCATGATTCTGTGGTACCAGGGGACTCTTTTGGACATCTCTGACTAGAGTCTTCCCCAGCCCAAAGCACAGCTTGGCCATGCCAGTTAGCCAACTGACATCACCCAGTGCCCACTGTATTAAGTATATGGACTCAAATAAGAAACTGGCTTTTGGGTTGGGATTATGGCTGGAAATCCTTCTTGGACCACCCCACATCATGTCTCTGTGGGACTAGGGACACTCCCAGAGAACTCTGACCAGAGTCTTGCCCAGCCCAAAGCACAGTTGAGCTGTGCCAAGCTGATTGCTGACAGCCCCCATGCACACTGTACTAAGTACATGGGCTCGAAAAAGGAACTGGATTTTGGGCTCAGATTACTCTGGAAATCCTTCTTGAGCCATCCCACACCATAACTCTGTGGTACTGGAGGACTCTTGTGGACACCTCTGACCAGAGTCTTGCCCAGTCCAAAGTGCAGCTTGGCCATGCCAGATGGCCAATTGACAGCCCCCCATGTCCACTGTACTAAGTAAATGGACTCAAATTAGGAACTGATTTTGGGCTGGGATTATGGCTGGAAATCCTTCCTGGGCTACCCTACACCATACCTCTCTGGCACCAGGAGACTGTCCCAGACATGCCTGGCCAGAGTCTTGCTGGCCTAGAGCGCGGTTTGTTCATGCCAGGCTACCAAAGGACAGCCCCCCATGCCAACTGTACTAAGGGTATGGTTTTGAATAAGAAACTGGTTTGGGCTGGAATTATGGTTGTAAATCCTTTTTGAGCCACCCCACACCATGCCTATGTTTCACCTGGGGACTCTCCCGGACATCGGTGACCAGAGTCTTGCCCAGCCTGAAGCGCAGCTTGCCCATGCCAGGCTACCGACTGACACCCCCCTCCCCCCAGCCACTGTACTAGGTATATGGGTTTGAATCAGGAACTGGTTTTTGGGCTGGGATTAGAGATGGAAATGCTTCTTGGACCACCCCACACCATGACTCTGTGGCACCAGGGGACTCTCCTGGACATCTCTGACTAGAGTCTTGCTCGGCCCAAAGCACGGTTTAGCCCTGCCATGCTACCAACTGACAGCTGCCCAGGCTCTTTGAACTGTGTACACGGTCTTGAATAAGGAGCTCAGATTATGGCTGGAAATCCTTTTTGGGCCACCCCACACCATGCCTCAATGGCACCAGGGGATGCTCCTGGACATCTCTGACTATGGTCTTGCCTGGCCCAAAGCACAATTTGTTTGTGCCAGGTGTCCAACTGACATCCACCACAGAGACTTTACTAAGTATATAGGCTTGAACAAGGAGCTGGCTTTTGGGCTGGGATTATGGATGGAAATTTATTTTGGGCCACCCACCACCATGACTCTGTGGCACCAGGGGACTCTCCTGGATATATCTGACCAGAGTCTTGCCTGGCGCAAAACGTGGTTTCTTTGTGCCAACCTACCAACTCTCAGCCCCCATGCCCACTGTACTAAGTATAATGGCTCAAATAAAGAACTGGCTTTTGGCCTCGGATTATGGCTGCAAATCCTTTTTAGACCCCTCCCACACCATACCTCTGTGGCACTGCAGGACTCTCCTGGACATCCCTGACTAGAGTCTTGCCTGGCCCAAAGCACGGTTTGGCCCTGCCAGGCTGCCAACTGACAGCCAGCCCCCCATGACCACTGTACTGAGTATATGGACCCAAATAAGGAACTGGTTTTGGGCTGGGATTATGACTGGAAGTCCTTCTTTGCCCACCCCACACCATGCCTTTGTACCAGATTAGGGCTGATAATTACAACACCCAGTTCTAAATTAGTTAACCTAGTTTCTGGGC